TTAACTCAGTTAAACCTCTCTCTCCTGAATATGTTAATCATAGACCTGTCATTGAAACCATTTTACTAACAGGTGGAGACCATCGGTGACGCCTACATGGTGGCGTCCGGGGTCCCTAACAGAAATGGTACTCGGCATGCGGCTGAAGTGGCCAACATGTCTCTGGACATCCTGCACTCTATCGGTGCATTTAAGATCAAGCACATGCCTGAGATTAAAGTAAAGATACGCATCGGCCTGCACTCAGGTAAAAAGTGTCAAATGTCAGCCATGTTTCTGGGTAAAATGACCTTCAAACTTCTTTTAATGACGTTTAAGCTTTGACCTGGGCAGTTTTTTTTTTTTTTTGGACTGATTTAGAGATCAGATGAATGAACAGGTTAACGAGTTAGAAGTCCAGCTCATAGTGGTCAAAATGACCAGTGAGTTAGTTAAATCATTACATTCAGACAGTTTTGGGATTTATGGTACAATCAACAATACAATAAACAATCTGGAAATAAGTAACCAAACCAACCAGTCCAGAAGAACAGAATAAAAACAAAGGTCACATTTTCAGGTATTTCCAGCTCTTCCTGCTGCCGTCTGTAGATGACACTGATGTGTCTGTATGTTCAGGGCCAGTGGTCGCCGGTGTGGTCGGCTTGACAATGCCCCGGTACTGTCTGTTTGGAGACACAGTGACCACTGCTGCACAAATGGAAGCCACTGGACTGCGTATGTAACACACAGTGGGAAAATGAATTGTTGCATAAAAATAACGTCTAATCCATCATCAATTCTTCATTATAACTCTACTGTGCTGCAGCGTACAGGATCCACATCAGCCTGTACACCGTCAAAGTCCTGACCAGCCTCAAGCTAGGCTACCACTTTGACACCAGGAAGGCCAAGGTCACCTCATCTGTGATGTCACTCTCATGTTTGTCTTCACAGACTTGACTCGTTTCAGGTGACAGACCTCTCTGGTTTGTGTGTCTGTCTGTTCAGGTGAAGGGTGACGAGGACACCTACTGGCTCATCGGGAGGGACGGTTTCAACAAACCTCTTCCTGTTCCCCCAGATCTTACAGGAGGGTATGATGTCGCAACCTGTCTGTCTGTGTTTTACATCATCTACAGATCCAGAGTTGTATTTATTTATTTATATGCCAAAAATATATTTTTAAATACAACATGTTTTTATATATAAAAAACCCTAACTTTGCAGCAAATACCAACGTGATAAAAGAAATCACATTTCATGAGAGAAGTTGTGGGAAGCTCTACTGGCCAGCAGTGGTGGTGCACTCACTTGTTTTTACTTATCAGGTCAAACTTTATTTGGAGCAGTATTTATTGTTTCCTTCCAGGAGTCCTAAAAGAATTGTTAAATTGTTGAGTTTATTGAAGTGAAAAGTTCTCTCATCAACCTGTGAACAAGTCCTGAAGGTTCTATTTGGTTCTATTCCTGTACAGTCCTGTTTCTGTCTAGGGTATTGTTTTGGTTCTGTAAGGCATCCCTGGTCCTTTGGTTTAGATCTTGGTTCGAGTAGCTACAGTATGATTTGTTGCTAAAGCTAAACATTAAAAAGAAGTTGCTTGTGTTTTTCTCCACATCTCCTTATCCACGTTTCCCTCTCCCCAGTACCGCAGGAATAGTTTCTCTGCTTTTGAAGCAGGGGTCAACAGAGGACTAGAAGTTTAGAATGTTGTATTTTGACGTCAGGACGTCCTTTAGGATTCCTCTTCTTTTGATATTTTCATTCTTCTGTCTTTCTCTCTCAGTGCAACCGGACATGGCATCAGTGTTGATGAGATTCCAGTTGCGAGACGGCAAAAGTTTCTGGCTCGACAGGGGATAAAGAAATGATCTACACACACGCATACACACACTACCTCAACAGCTGACAGTGCTTTAAAAGGACTTTTTCACTGCTTGTTTCACCATGTTAGCCAAACATGAAGAAAAGGTAAAGAGGAGTGAAACGCTTCGATCCCTGATTTCACTCTTTTCCTCCAGATTTTGACAACAGTCATTTCTGTGCCAACACACAGTCGATGGAACAAAGATGTAGATCAGTCTTAGATCTGAAATCAGATTTGTTTTTTGTTTACTGATGGTTGGTCTCATGTTTTCGTCACATCACCAATAAAAAAAATCATTGTCTTTGACATATTCTTTTATTAAAGCAGGCAAGTGTGTTTTTACTTTGGTCTGTTTGGACTTTATTATCATCGGAAACACTTTCCCCACTCATGTGGAAAACTGAACTCTTCGCCTGGAGAGCGGCTGGAGGAGGAGGTGAGAAAAAATATATAATCTATTTAAAACATTTTATTTTAAAAAAAGCCTAATGTGCAAATGTCATGGTGGTTTAGTCATTTGGATTATATATATATTTGATATATATTTTAAGTATTTATAGAAGAGAAAAACAGTAGTCACCATTTAAAATTACATGTTTAAACTTTAGCTTTGAGTATAAAAAAAGTACGCATTCCTACAGTACCTCACGCAAACTACTAAAGGTGATATTTTTACTCCATATATAACTATTAAAACATTCTTCTTTTCCTCTTTTCCTGCCAGAGAGTTATACAAAAATACCAAAGAAAAGATCAGGGTTGTAGAATAAATCTGACATTTAGATAAGTCTGACACTTTCGAGACAAAAAGGTTATAAAACTGTCCAAAAACGTTCTTACAATAGGTGACTTTCCATAGTGACCAAAAGTCTTCGTGGATTTCATCAAGTCCAAGAGTTGGTAAGTGTTATCTAACATTTATTCATTTTGTTGTTATAATTATGAAGTAAAGTTCACCTCTGGTGTCGCCGTTCACATCTGTATGTTAACCCTTCCTTTGTCCTCCATCATTAGCCCCACCACTAGTTAGACGATGCCAACGACGCTAAACTCCTGCGGGCTAAGAGCTTGACATATTTGCTCTACAGCTTCCTACGTGAACCACTAGATGGCAGCCAAAAACAGGTACGTACAAACGTGGACATACACAGTCACGGAACTGTTTGTACACCTGGTCTGTGTGATGAACAGCTCAGGAGTCCGTATTGAGTCTGAAAGACTCCATCCCAGATTAGTGGAGATGTTGTGTAACTGCAGAGCCATCCATCTGTTCATTTATCTCTTCTGCTCCTCTAATTAACCGATCAATGGGCTGCTGGTCGAGTCCAGATCAATTCAAATATTGTTCCCCCGACGCATTAGTGACCTTTAATGACCTTTTAAAGACACAAGGGTCGTTGGTAGAGTGTTAACTTCCAGTGGATCCCAGTATCAACAGGTATTAACGTACAGTATATGTACTGTTGCTCGATCAAGGGTGTGGCCTGACACCTAGTGGTAGAGATGAGAACAACCGTGTCTGTCGTGATTGAGTTTTTAGCAAAAAATAATACCATAATACTTTTTTTGTCCAACTATAAAACTGGAGAATTGTTTTAACATATGGAGGTGATTTTTCTGCTCAGTCTTAGGGTCGAAAAGTTTTCATTTAACTGCTGCTGTATCTCTTTGTTATTTGTTTGCATCATGCAAAACAATGGTACCGATGTTTTGCATGACACTTCTTTATACTGCTGCTATGCTCTCGATGTCTACAATTCAGTTATTCACCGATGTTTTTTATAGTAACCTGATGCAAACCTAACTTTATGAGTTCAAATACTGAACATCCAAAGACATAAATAGTCAGGTGGAGATGAGCATCAGGAGATCTGTGGCAGAAGGCTATCAGCAAAGTTGAAAGGTCACGTAATTAGACAGTAGTGAGAGCTGCTGTATGCATATGTATGTTTTAGAGACAAGAGGCTGGGCTGGAGGTGGAGGAGATGAAGAGGCTGAGATCTGGGAGCTGGGAGTGAGCAGGATGGACGGGATTGGAGATTATCAGTTAAGGTGGAGCCATTTGGACATAAAGTTAGAGAGGTGAGGTGGAGGTGGAGGTGGAGGTGGATGTTGACAGACAATGGATGCTGGAGATGCAGTTTCAAGGCTGGAGGAGAAGAGGAAGACCATTTGGGTGTAGTTATGGAACACATGGAGGTGGTTGATGTAACAGTGGAGGAGGCAGGAGATAGTAGGCAGGTGACCTGCTGTGGTGACCCCTAGAGGGAGCAGCTGGAAAGAGAAGAGGCTGCTGCTGTTAATGTGTAAAAAAAAAAAATAGACCTCATCAATTAGCTGTGACACTAGTTCAACTGACCATAATGCAGATTGGTCTGACTCCTGCAAATGCCACCAAAATAAAAGCCTACATGTGATTTGGCAACACCTCCTACTGCCAGTTGTGTTTTGTCTTTTACAGGAAACACTGAACACCTCTCAGGCTTTAACTGGTAAACGGCAGAGGTTTTGTTAGTTAGTTTTAGTTTGTTTGTTTTGAAACGGAGAAGCAGAAGCATTTGGACTGTGGCAGCTGGTTTCTGTTATTAGAGATGTGTTAAATGTATGCTTGTGAGTAAATGTAAATGCTGTGGAGACATTAGCACCGCCTGTGTGACAGTATGTTCCTATCTGCATGATAATGATAACAACAATGGTGGCAGCAGTGCTGTAATTTGCCCTGAGTTTGATACGTAACACAGAGCTGTTAATTATCTCTCTGTTATCACTCTGTGCGGTCGCTCGCCTCTGATTGCTGCTCCCGCTGTGTGACGCTCCAACCAGGCGCAGAGGAAATCCTACAACCTGTGAGCTGTGTGTGTGTGTGTGTGTGTGAGAGAGAGAGAGAGAGGGAAACATTTATGTGGATCCTTCCGTTGTGGTTGTATTCAGTTAATTGCCTTATAGGCCAAATAAATATAAGTAAGTGTGATAATTTACATGTATTATTCATCGTCTAAAATGTGGGACTCACTAACGTTAGTATTTTGGAGCCACATTATATCTCTAACAGCTTACATACATAGATATTGTCGACAGAATGGGGGGAAGGATGAAAATAAAAAGATGAATAGAATGAACCTCAATATTCAACAGATTCCATTTTTATCTTTATTCTTTAATACAATGAACTAAACATCTGAAAATGGAACGTTGAACTCATATTTCAAGTGAAGACCTCACCGTGGGTGTTTTGGATTCTTACACGGACGGTTGCGTTGTTATCAGCTCCTTTTAAAGGATGTCTTGACTCAGACAGTGACCGTCATCAGTGTCAGCTCCGTGTGTCTTTGTCTCACACCACTGCCTTCATTTAGTCCTTGCTGGTTGTGGACCTCGGCTCTCCTTCACCTCCCATCCTTCCTTTCTTCCTTCCTATCTTACTGCTCGTTGTCAAGGGCAACTGGAGGAATGAGCAGAATACAGTAACACGATCGGCAGGAGAATCCAGCAGGTGTGTGTGAGCACACACTTGTTACTGTGTGTGAAGCTACACACACACACACACACAGTAACAAGTGTGTGCTCACTCTGCTGGTTGGCGGCACACTTAAATAAAGTGACTCCTGGCAGCTTGACCTCTAATTCAACATGAATATTTAATCAACTGTAAACAAATGACTATTGCTAGGAGTGTGTGTGTGTGTCTGTGTGTGTGTCTTTGCTCTTGTTGTGTCCATGTCCAACTCTAACTCCTCTCTCTCCTTCTACAGAGAAATCCATGTCTTATGTTTTGATGAATTCTATGTAATCAGCAGTTAGGGTTAGTGAACAGTTCTGTAGAGTTCAAATCTGTCTGTGTTCCAAAAAGCTAATTAGCTTACACATTCTCTGCTGGAACACACAGCTGCAGACTAAAGTGAAAGTCCTCAGAGCGAGCCTGGACAGAACCACCGGAGGAACAGAACAGATGTGTTCCTGCATGAAGGTGGAATGTTGGGATTCTGGATTCAGCAGCGGAGCAGGGACACACTCACCTCCTGGTCTGAGGCTCCTCTTCCTCTGCTTCAAAATCTACAACAAAAACCTTAGGTAAAATGAATGTCCTCACAGACCACCGCTGTCTCCAACTCTGTAGTTAATGTCCTCACAGACCACTGCTGTCTCCAACTCTGTCTTTAATGTCAACACAGACCACCACTGTCTCCAACTCTGTAGTTAATGTCCTCACAGACCACCGCTGTCTCCAACTCTGTAGTTAATGTCCTCACAGACCACTGCTGTCTCCAACTCTGTCTTTAATGTCAACACAGACCACCACTGTCTCCAACTCTGTCTTTAATGTCCTCACAGACCACCACTGTCTCCTACTCTGTCTTTAATGTCCACACAGACCACCCCTGTCTCCAACTCTGTAGTTAATGTCCTCACAGACCACTGCTGTCTCCAACTCTGTCTTTAATGTCCTCACAGACCACCACTGTCTCCTACTCTGTCTTTAATGTCCACACAGACCACCCCTGTCTCCAACTCTGTAGTTAATGTCCTCACAGACCACTGCTGTCTCCAACTCTGTCTTTAATGTCCACACAGTCCACCGCTGTCTCCAACTCTGTCTTTAATGTCCTCACAGACCACCGCTGTCTCCAACTCTGTAGTTAATGTCCACCCAGACCACCACTGTCTCCAACTCTGTCTTTAATGTCAACACAGACCACCACTGTCTCCAACTCTGTCTTTAATGTCCACATAGACCACCACTGTCTCCAACTCTGTAGTTAATGTCCTCACAGACCACCGCTGTCTCCAACTCTGTAGTTAATGTCCTCACAGACCACTGCTGTCTCCAACTCTGTCTTTAATGTCAACACAGACCACCACTGTCTCCAACTCTGTAGTTAATGTCCACACAGATCACCGCTGTCTCCAACTCTGTAGTTAATGTCCTCACAGACCACCGCTGTCTCCAACTCTGTAGTTAATGTCCTCACAGACCACCACTGTCTCCAACTCTGTAGTTAATGTCCACACAGATCACCGCTGTCTCCAACTCTGTAGTTAATGTCCTCACAGACCACTGCTGTCTCCAACTCTGTCTTTAATGTCAACACAGACCACCACTGTCTCCAACTCTGTCTTTAATGTCCACACAGAGAATGGCCACACTGTGGAGGCAAAAACCAGCCACTATGACTGTACGTTGGTGAAACACCCTGGCTATAATAAAGGCAACTCGGCCTACAGTGCACATGTAGAAACAAGGACAAGAGATGAGGACGCTGATTGGTGGATGAATTAAACTGACTGCTATCAGGTTTTTACACGTGTTTGTGTTGTTGCTGCTCAGTCTCCGGGTGTTTCCGCGTGTGTTTGCTCCCCGTTGAACTCCGTGAACACACACACACACACACACACACACACCTCTCTGTCTCTCTTTCTCCTTACCTGATTCGGTCAGATCGACGGTGACGCTCTGCGCGTAAGAGCTTCTCTCTCTCTCTCTGTCTCTCTCTCTGTCTCTTTATCTCTCTCGGTCTCTCTCTCTCGCTCTGCCTCTCTGTCTGGTAGGCGGACCCCCGAGCAGCAGCAGCAGCAGGGACTCGAACTCCTCGCCGCTGATCGCCGGCAGCTGCGCGAACGACGCGACGCCGCCTCCTGAAGAGCCATCCAGGCCGGACACGAGCCGCAGGAGACACCGGCCTCCACCGTAGGAAAGGGGGAGGAAGAGGAAAGGGAGGTAAGAAGACAAATGAAAATGAATTTCTTTTGCATCATTGAGAAAATAGAGAAGGATGTTGAACGTGTGCAACAGAGGCTGAGGCGACAGAGGAGTGTGTTCTTCAGAAACGTGCATGAGTTTAAATGATTATTGATCAGTTATCATTGATCGTTAATGGACTCAAAGAGAGACACACACTCGGGATGAATGGTCGGTCACACGCACTACAGAGCGCCTGTTGTCCGTCTGCTGTCTGTGCCGTCTGTGACCGAGAACATGAGAATGCTGAGGCTCCGACAGGAAGACGCACGACTGTCTGACACCGACCGATATTAGTCTATTCATCTTTGTTTTGAAAACACATTTACGCGTTCACGTCCTGAAGGGCTCGCGCACACGCACACACAACCTGCTGCATATACGTGCGTTAATGTTTGGTGTCATGCAGCATCCTCACCGTCACTCGTACCCACGGTGTTGCTGTGGTTTTCACTGATACCTTGTATTTTTCTTTTCTTTTATTGTTTTATTGTCATCTTCACCACCATTACCCTCACCATCACCATGGTTTCACCCAAAGCTTCGATGCTCATTCAAGTCAGGCTGCAGATACAGCTGGACTACCCACCGGATTCTTTTATAGCTGGCATGTCCTTTAATCGTTGACCCCCTCCACCCCCACTCTCCTCACAGGGAAGGAAACGAACTGCTAAAATATAACCAACCAGCCGAGTTAACGCCTTCAGGTGCTGCTGACCTGGTCAAGTTCAAACCTGGCAAGAAACTGGTTAAAAGATAAATTTTTCATTTTTGGTCCGGGCTTCTTCAGGGATTGTGACTTCACTCTAGTTTAAATATAACAAGACGAAGCTGAAAGAAGGAGAAGATGTCCAGCGTTTTCTAGATGAAAACACCATGTTGGTGCCAAAGGGCAAAGGAAGATGCTCTCTTTGATTACAGCTGGTGATGCAAAGAGATTCATTCCTAAAAGAAGTGATTTTCAACCATATTGTTTTTCTAATACAGAACCTCCTCCTCCTCCTCCTCCTCCTCCTCCTCCTCATCATCATCATCATCATTGACTATGGTGTATCATTGTGTTGTCCTTGAATCTATATGACTGTGCAGTGTCTGTCTCTGTAGCATCATTTTAAAGAGCACAGTCCTGATGTGCCACCAACGTACACAAACCACAGATAAAGTGCACATTAGTGAAGGAGCTGCCACTCTGCTCTGACGCTATTAAAAAGAACAAAGTCCGTTCATTCATTCCTCTGTCTTTTCTATAGTTTCCCGGGACTGGACGAAGACAAAGACGAGGAGGAGTCAGAAGTCCCGTTTGTCATTCCTATCTTTACTCCTCTGCTGTTTAAGCTTTCACCTCACGCCAGGCTTCTCTGGATTCCTCTGCCACCCCTCCATCCCTTACGTCTTCTTTTGTCCAACCCCTCCTCCTTTATCCATCCATCCATCCATCCATCCATCCCATGTCATTTCCTCTCTTCCTCATCCCCTGTTGCCTCACCCTTTGAAGCCAACATGGCGGCCAAACTGAACCCCAACATCCTGTATGTGTCGGAGCCCAGTGAGACCCTGGGGTCACCACCAGCAGACTCTGAGCGGACTCACATTGTAAGTACCAGATGTGGGACGGCACATGTTCCCCCCAAAAACGTATGTGCAGTACACACAGAGTACACGCACCATGTGTTTAAGGCACAAACGGAAAACAAACGAGGAGAATAATGGATGTCACATTTCACACTGCCTTTATTTCTGAAGGCAGCAGAGGCTGGAGAGGAGTCGTCAGACAGTGATGGAGAACAAGAGGAAACTTCTCATAAGTTGATTAGGAAAGTGTCGACATCGGGACAAATACGGGCCAAGGTAAGACAGGCATGAGAGGAGAGCTGTGTGTGTGTGTGTGTGAGAGAGAGAGAAGATGAGACAGTGCTTGAAGACCTGATGGACACAAACCAAAACTCCTCATGGTAACAGTCTCTGTTGTCTTTGTTTAGGTCAGTAGTCCTCATTTCCCATTTATCCATCCTAGTCAATTTGGCAGCTGACCAAGTCTCCCTCTTGTGGCAAAGAGCCGCTAGTTCAATTTTATGATGATGATAGGCAACATCCATTCTTCAATAGCAGACTGTATTTTCAGATCTAATTTTCAGTTGGCTGGTTGTGTGTCACATGACATGAGGCTGTTGTATCTATGGTGGCTCCACAGTTCATTCTACTTTGTGTTACTCTTGCTGGGATTTCAGCCTGTTACGGGAAAATATTTTGGTTCACACACACACACACACACACACACACACACCCCTGTGTAGATTGTGTTGAAATAATCATCTGTTGTCTTTACTATCGGTTACTTCAAACCTCACTGGAATCTTTGAAATGAATAGACTTGGCCAGCAAAATCCCATCATGCCGTGCTTGTTTCTGGGGCAGATAATGGTATAGAATATCATTATGGTGTTGATCAATAATCTCACCAGGCTGGGCTGTAATGCAGCTGTGTTGATGTATGTGTGTGTGTGTGAGAGACAGAGAATATGTCTGAAAGGAATAACCTCATGTTGATGAGTGATAGTGATGTCACCCAGCAGTTCAGCAGTTTCATTGGTCACAAGTGAAGTCTCTGAGTGTGTGCTCTGTGCTGTCTGTCCTCCAGTGGACAGTCAGTGTTTACAGTGTGATGATTTGCTCTTTGTGAGTTGTCTAGGAATCACTTGATGGGATTGTGTGATGAGTTGTCTTGGAATCACTTGATGGGATTGTGTGATGAGCAGGTAAAAGTTCAAACTGATGCGGTCGAACAGCCAATAAGCTTGAGTTGCAGCGTCAGCTAGAGGACACCCAAAAAGTTAAGCTTGAGACATTTAAGGTGGTTTCGTTTCTTCTCAAAGATAAAGCACAGGAATGACTGATGGTGCGAAGCCTCATCATCATTAGATCCAGAAAGGCAGGCAGCCATCCAGGATTTGTTCCAGCAGCCTTGGCTCCGCCTTAAGTGACACTGGTTCTACCTCCAGTGCAACATGAATGCTCTGCTCTAACAATGCTGGTCCCACCTCCAACCATGCAGCTCTAGTCTCTAACACACTTCTGGATCCCTGGGGGTAGTTTAGCACCTGTGTGGTACCACCCTGCTCCATGATGACATCACAGGGGCAGGACTCTAAAAGGGCTTCTAACAATGTCTTCTAGCAGGGACACACATTCACATCCTGCCGCTGTAAAACCAGTAAATTCCCCAGAGGCTCCTAAATCTCCTGATAAAGATCAAATTCACATTATTAAAGTAATTATTAGTTCTATCATCATCATCATTTTAAGGTTGTGATACTTTATTTCCTTATTTCTCTCATATTTATTCACAGATAAATTATGCACAATCATCAGCCAGAAAAGACGCTGTGATGAGACATGATGAAAATAAATCTGAATGGTTCAGTCAGCTGTGTTTTCTACAGCAGTAAACATCATGGTCTGACATCATAATAAATATGATCCATGAAGTCGTTTAGCGTCTCGTCGTAGTCACTGGTCGTGTTCACTCATGTCCATCAACATCAATCTGAAGAACATAGTTACAGCTCTGCATGTACACAGCCTCAGTCATCCCCGTACATTATATTATAGAGTTCGGACAAACCAGTATACATCCCAGTCAGGGACTGGAGCCAACACTTAGAGCATGTAGTGAATTCATCCTATTTAGAACTGTCTATATGTACAATAATGTATATATATGTATATGAATATACCAGCCACATAGTAATTATGCTGATTTAATCTCTGGCCTAATTTGTAACGTAACTTATTTTCAAAGAAATTGACAGTCATGTTCATGGTTGTCTCATTTTAATGAAGAAAGACTGAATATGAACCAAACCTCTAGAAATAATGTCACCTTTACTTAACTAACATTTGCATTAATAAATTTGCAGCTTAGAGATAATTACTCAGTTAGCCAATCCTGGTAGCAGGTGACCCCGGGCACCACATAGGTGACCCCTGATCTAGAGAGTGTCTGTAAAGAGTGGGCCGTCAGAGTGTGTACGTACATATTGTACAAATGCTGTCCTACAGCCTTGTCTCAGACTCGCTTCACCTTGACCTGCTGATAGTGTGGGACTGATACTCTTTCTCCTTCTTCATTTGCTCTCCTCGTCCTCCTCCTATTCTTCTTCTCCTCGTGCTCCTCTTCTACTTGGTGGACATTTCATGCATGATTTCATGTTGTGCATGATGAGGGAGGAGTAGGAGGCAGAGTTTGTGTGGCATCACCGCTGTGGCTTTGAGTAGGTTGACCACACCATGAATGTGCAGCAGAAGCCACAGGCAGTAAACAGTCGTCCCTTTCTCATTTTTGATGCTGGAACAAGAGATTTTCATGGATTTATTTTCATCACCTTACACCTTTATTCTTGGTATCATCTGTGTTCTTCCATGATTCTTCCATGTTTCCTCATCGTCACGACCCACAGCCGTTCCCTTCAGAAATAGCTGTAGCTGTTTTTCCTAAACATTACATAACTGGTCATATTTCTGGCAGTTTGAGTGGTAACCGAAAAGTTACCCTTCTGTTGCTTTTTTTAAAGGATTTCCTACACACTGCTGCCGAATCACTGCCACTATATTTGTAAATTTTCCTGCTTCTGACTCCAGGTACTAAAGAGTGTGTGGGCGTTTACAGCAGAGGTGATGAGGAAGAGTTATTTTCTCTGTATGCCTGTGTGTGTGTGTGTGTGTGTGTGTAGGATGTGTAACAGTGATGGCTTAAGGAGCGTGCACGAGTGTGTGGGAAGTCAGCCTCATAACATCCATGCCTGCTGAAGCCCATGATTTCTTAAACCCATGTTTTCTGCTTGATGTGTCTGTTGGAAAGACCTTTCCTCCAGGAGAGTCAGGATGTGCTGACGCCCCCACACACCCACACCGAAGACTGACACGAGGGAATGAATGGAGGGATCATTTGATAATGGACCTCAAAGACACCTGGCTTTGACCTGAAACAGACAGGGTAAACTAGACGCTCCAACTGCTTTAGCTTTGACCTAAAATGAAAGTATGAGCGAGATAAAAATTAAAATTAAAAAAAGTTTCTCTACGTCTGAATCCTGGCACAGAACAGAAAGTCAGTGTGGGTGTTCAACCAGTGAGCACGTGTGTGTGTGTGTGTGTGTGTGAAGGGAGAGGGGGTAAACAGAGAAGGCTTGAAGAGAGTGCCGGTGTGTGGGATGACTTTGTGTGTGTGTGTGGGCTTGATGTGATTCAACTGAAATAGTCTGTGTGGGTCAATACTGAGAGAGGGGAGAGAGGGAGAGGGAGAGGGGAGAGTTGATGGAGTGAGGGAGCAGGAGAGAGATGAGAAAGAAGAGACAGATGATACGAGAAATGGTGATTAGAGAGCGATGAAGAAAACAATGGAGGGAAATGAGGAAGGAGAGAAGAAAGAGAGTCAGACCAAAGAAGGAGAAGGAGAGAAATGAATTAAGGGAGGGAGTGGACGAGCGAGAGATTGTGTACAGACAGAATTGGGACAGAGAGCAGGATGAGGACAGAGAGAGAGAGAGAGAGAGATGAGAGGGGAACTGTTGACGGTTCTTCCTGGATTCACTTTTTTTTTCTGTTTCTTTACTGACCAATAACACAGGACTTGGTTTGTCTTCCGTTGAACAACAGAAGTGTTTCCCTCCATTCTGTTGCTGAACAAACCTAGATGTGTGTAAACTTCCATCATGTGACCACAGCACCTCTGCTGGTAGACTTTACCGTAACTCAGTCTTTATATTGAAGCAGTGATGTTGCAGCAGAAGTCCGTTCATCAAGGCAGCTTCTTGGCCATGACTGCAGCTTTTGGCAGCTCCGAGTCAAACGTCCTCTCAGGTGCTCTGCTGCAGCTGCAGGAGAACCAGGGTTGGATTAGGGTTTGGACAAATTATTTAACTTTTTATAAATGGCTTCAGTTTCCCAGTGAGAGCCCATCTACATGTGGGTAAATGGGCAACGATTTAGCAGGAATTTGTGTTGATGCAGTAAAAAAAAAAAAATCCTCCAACAGATTGTGAAATGAAAAACCTCTGAGATAAATTAGAAATTTGAAAGAATTTGCTTCGTAGACATGTTTTGTAACTGTCGACTGGTCCACACCAGGGACACAGACAGAACCGGTGGTTGGTCAGCCTGGGCCTCAGTGACAGACGTCCAGTCTGTTGGTTTAGTGGCATCAGTTCTGGGTTTTGGATTGATCTCATCGACAGGAAATGAAGACACGAGGCAGCAGGTGACGTCAACACTATGGTTGTGTGAATGGACTTTGGCCCAGGAATGTGCACACAGGTGTGTGTGTGTGTGTGTGTGAGGATAATAAACAGAGGTGTGTGTAGGTGTGTTTGTCTCTGCTCTTTCTTCTGCTCCTGAATTGTGATGTCGTCACCTGAAGCTGTCCAGGTGGAACAGTAGGTTTTTGGAGTTTCCAGTTTGTCCTTTCACTGCAGACACATCTGTCGTATTACTTCATATTCATACTAATATTCATGATCATTCAAAGGTGCAGTCCCAAACTGTTTTTATTTCAGTCAAATACAGACATCATGTTTCCCCTCCATTGAAAATATCCTCTTTAAAGCCCTGTAAAAGAGAAAATGTGGGAGTGAATGTAGAGAGTTTTGTTTTTTTTAAATTGTTTTTGGTGATGCAGAATTTCCTTTTACAGCCCTCTATATATTATTATATTATAAATGGATTTATCATTACAATAACTGCAGTTGCTAAAAGGTGTTATAACAGCACATCACCTTAATAAATACACAAATACTTATTACATTAGCCTGGACTGAGAGGGACCCCTTCAGGATGTCAGTGTAATGTTTTACATCATTTTATATTCTCCCTCCATGTTTAAAAAACGACTTCAACGTTGGATGAGCAGTGACTTCAGGATGAGAAATCAGACTTTCCTACATCACACTTTGATAATGACACAAACTGAAGCTCGACCCCTGGGTCTTCTTGTCATGCTGCTGCTGCTGTGATTGGCTGTAGCTGGAGTTTCAGTTTTTACACACAAGAAGCAGAGAGAGACACTTTCAGTCTGTGTGTGTATGTGTGTGTTTTTACTTGTATTTCCCCCCAGTTGTTTTGTTTTACGCCTCAGTGAACCTCTTGTTATTTTAACCCTGCCAGCCCCCCCACCCCTCCACTCCCCCCTCCCTGCTTCCAAAAATAGAGCCACTCTGGGGTTTTGTCAGCCCCTCTCTTTTGAAACCTCTTTAACAGGAAGCAAGAAAATGTTACTACAACATAGAAACATGCAGGCACACAGAACACACACACACACACACACACACACTTTCAAACATCCTTTCGTAACACTGTAGTTCTGAAAAATGAGATAAATATTTGGGACTTCTTCTTTTTCTCTGTACAGCTTACAGTATGATGATGTGTTTGGTGTGTGTGTGTGTGTGCGCGCGTGTGCAGGCCCACTGGACAGTGTCACGCCCCTTAGCTTGAAGAACCACACAGTGAGTGAGTGTCTGAGTCAGCAGGCATGAACAGCCACACATCTGTACATGACACTTGATGTGGAGAGAACACTGTGTGTGTTCGCACAAGTGTGTATGTGTGTGTGTGTGTGTGTGTGTGTGTATGTGTGTACTTCTCCGAAATCTCTGGCATGAATAGTCATCTCAGACACACTGCAGTTTTAGAACACAGGTACTGTAGTAAA